TTCACTGGAGGACGATTTCTATAAGATTATTTTGGTTCTCTGTTTTTTACCGTGGGGGTATCCACTTCCTTTCTTTAATACGCAGGTGATTTGGATATCTGTCTGTCTTGCATTACGTGTTATCTACTGCCTTTTTAAGATTACACCCAAAAACTAACTGCTGGTTATCTGTCTCAAGGCCAATCCTCACACTGAGACTCGTAAAAAGCTAAATTCTGACCACTCAAGACAACAGTATCACTACATATTTACCGAAATGTACGGATCTGCCACCTTTCCTGCCGTCGAGGTTATCACTTACTCACTATCACGAATGATAGTGTCAGTATGTCTTTGAACATGAACCTTGTTTGTTTGAATGCTCATCCACTTTTTGCCTGTTTGTACAGCAGTTTGTACTGAAACTAAGTTTACTACTTTTACATCTTTATACTTGCGTCAAAGGCTAGTCTGATATACGTGGTAGACCTTGGCAGTGTATTATATATAAATAAGAGTACATCAGAGTCAAGTTTATTTGTATAGCCCAGTATCACATATTGTACAATGTCTCCAAACAGTTCCTAATCACCTTTTATAAGAACACAAACTCCCCCAGAAACTCCAAAAGGCACTTCAAAAAGGGACCACCCCCTCTCCAGAGATGGCGGGGGGATGGAAAAGGAGCCATAGGTCAAAATATTCCAAATGAATATTAAGTTAAAATAGTTGGACACACCAGAAACACAACCCTGTCTGCTAGAAATTACATTTGTATGTTATTAACTGCTTTCTTAACAACCTTGTGGCAACGTAATCACTGCCTGCGTTATATTCAGAGACAACGTTTCTTTGAGGTAACGTAGATAGGTAGGTTTGTGTCCAGACTTATATCTTAGGCTTAGGCAACAAAAGCACTCTGGCTAAGGTCAGGAAAAGATGGTGATTGCAGTTTAATGTTAATAAAAATTGAATTGAATGCTGCAGTTACTACGACTGAGAGAACACATTGTCAGTAAACCCTGTGCTGATACATTCATTAACATTTTTGTGACTTGCCAGGTACGTTAACTTGCAACATTTGCTTATGCTAATAGAAAAAGACATTTTCTCAGCATTATATTGCCCTTAAAAGGTGCTTTATTTAAATTTGTTGTATATAAATGTAATTTTTAGGAGATGGGGATGAAATGAAACGATTGGATTCTAAATGGTCCAGTGCTAATATAGTAAATCCAAATAAAAATCCCTAGGAATGGGTCCAATCAGTTGTTCAAATGTCCAAGATTGAAGGTATGTGAGGCTGGGGGACCAAGCTTGTGGAGTAGTAGAAGTAGTTTGGTAGACCAGGGGGTGGGGTCACTTGAAAGATGGAGGAGACCAAGCCCCAGTCTGTGCTTGTTACATTTGAGTCACAGTGGTAACCCAGGAGATTGTTTAACAACCTTTCTCTGAGGGTATTTCCAGAAACCTCAACGACTCAAACCATCTGGATGAACAAATATTCCAACTGCTGCAAATTAGAAAAGATAAAATAATGTTTCCCAATACAAACAAAGATGGCAGCCTGCTGGTCACCTGGGTAAGAAACGACTTACGACTCTGGGAAATGGGTCTAAAATCTGTTTTATTGTGCAGCAGACAGAAGGTGTTTTCATTCATATGGTTAGAGAAGTTCTTGAGGTTTCCAGAAATGCCTTCAGAACAGCAGTTAGTAAGATGGAACTTGATTAGATTTCATTGATACCAATTCCATTATCGATTCTGCCTTTTGGTCCGATTATCGATTTCCTTACTGACTTGTAATGGACGTGCTGCTTGGTTGAGGAGCAGTGGCCCTTGAGCATAGAGTGACACTTACATGGCATTCCTGGAATTCAAGCCCACGTTATGTAGAAAGATATCTCAGCATATTGCTGCTGCTTCCTTACTTAAAATTAAGTACAAACAGCACTGTTGTCATCTTGTTCTAAAAATGAAGCCACACTTTGACCGTTTCTTCTTCTTCACCATGACCCTTTCTTGTTGCAAGTTTCCAGCAGTGTAGACGGTTGAGTTTAACGTAAAAAAAAACCTGCTGGCATTGATAAAAGGAATTGATAAGCTCAGAGGTTGATGAATCAGATAATTTGGAACTGGTTCTCAGTTCCCATCTCTAACAAAAAGTTTAGTAAAATGTGGGTTTTTAAAACATCACAGAGTCTGTTTCATGAGAGAAACTGATGGCTACTGCTGCTACTCAAATGTAATTCTAATACATGAGGCACAAACTGGGGCTAGAAGGAGCCATCAGAGCACCCTGCAGATAACAGCAGGCGGTGCCGAAGGAAACAACCAAACTTGAGGTGTTTGCCATGTAGGGTTGCAACAATATGAGATTGTCATGGTACCATAACCGTCTCAGAAAATATCACGGTATTACAGAATTAATATTATGATTTGTAAGAATGCCCTTAAAGGAATAAAATTGGAAGGATTATTTTTGGTTGAACAAACATTTTATCACTATAACTGAAACCATTTTGATAATGGAAGTACGTGTAAAAAGTCTCCCCTTTTTAAATAACTAACATAAAGGGGAAATTCACCGTCCAGTTGCTTTTTTTCCCCCAATATTGCAGATAACTGTCATTTCTAATATCATTGTATACCTTGAAACTGGTATATCGCTGCAACCCTAATGCCCTGTTAATGTGAAGGCAGTATTGACTTAAGGTTTCTTTTAGTTCTTGAGGCAGGCCTCAGGATACTGAAGAGGTCATGAGATCTGTTAAATATGTCTAAGAAAGATTATCTATTGAGGAAGACCATAAAAATGGGCCCCAAAGAAGTCAAAGCAGCAAGGCTACTGTGGAGATTTCTATACTCTTTCCAATTAAACTAGAAAAAGACAACTTAAGCGTCATCTATATGTAAAGAAAAGGCTTTTTCAAACAGCTAGTAAACAGGAAAGAGCTTGGAGCAGTCATTACACTTCATTGCAATATAGAGTTGAGTGTCATCTGCATAAGGGTGAAGATTCATGCTGGCTAACAGAAGAATATTGTGAAGAGTAGTGGACCAAGTATGGAGCCTTGAGGTTCGCCATACCTTACCTGACGGAGAGATGGACTACTATTTTTAAGCAAGACAAACTGTGACGTACTTTATGTTAGTCTGGCCCTAACTCACAAAAGTGCTAGGTTAAAAACAAGGGATTTAAGTCCCTCCCTGTATCACATCCTCGACCCCAGTTTGGAAGATCTGTAAATAGTTAAACTACATATTATTCTTATAGACTACCAAAAACTGTATTTGACTGTTGATTTTTGCTTGGTGAGCATCTTCACAGGATTCCACCACAGAGCTTCCCACTGAGTCTACCAAAAGTGTTAAAGGTGTGACAGGCAAGTCTGATTTTTACTAAACAAATGAGAAAACTGTGTACAGTATTGTATGTGTTGCGAGGCTTGACTCTTTGACAGAATACAAATACATAACAGTTATGAATCTATATGGGAGAAAAAGGGACACAATTAAATAAATGTTTATGCAAAGCCCATGTCTGTGGTGTAATCATGGTAACTGTCCTCCTGATTTCAGAGGGGGATGATGAACCAAACGTCTGCAGTCGCATAGGCCTGTATGTTGAAATGGTGTCATCAGAATTGTTCTTGCAGAGTTATTGTAATGATGTCGTTACAGAGTTTTGCTCTTCTGTATGTGTGTTTCACGACAAAGTGCTGTTGGGAAAACCAAATGCAGAGCTCTGTTGGTACAGGAAACCGCAGGTTGGAGCTACTGTTACTGTATGTACGAACAACAGCAACACGTAACCAATGACTTCATCTTACTACTTTCTGGTGTCATTTACAACATGTTTGACCACCTTTATTCCCTGCTCTGACAACACTTCATTCAAAGTCTGCTTGGCAAAACTGAAATAAACTAGAAGAGAAAAACCTGAAGTGTGCCGCAGTCCATTAAACCTAACTTCTGCCTCACCGTGTAACTTCTTTATGAAACCTCAAAGTTACCAGCCACATTTTCGCTGCAGGGTGGAACTTTTGTCTCCCTCCTCTAGCAATGAGTGTTTCACAAACACTGTGATAATGTATGTCTGCAGGTGAGCTCGCTGCATTTTCCCTGTCCCCCAGGTGTTCTCCCTTCAAGTCTTCCCGTGCAAATAAGGGCACGCAGTAATGTGACATCCATGTCTGTGTCTCCAACAAGGCAAAGCTACACAGCTGCTTCATTAATCCTTCCCTTAAGTTTCCCTAAGTTCTATTTCGTATGTGCTCCGCCTTCTAACGGGCTTCGCTATTGGTTTATTGGAAGCCGTTAGAGGGCGGAGCACATACTCATAGAACTGCAGTTACATCATCAGTTCTGATGCGCCACAGACAGACACCAAAGCTCCAGTATACAGTGAAATACAGAGAGCTTTCTCTGATGGCAAAAGGCCTTATTGCTGAAACCGCTTATCACAGGGGCAGCAGGGTCACAAGGGCAGCAGGCCAAGCAAAGCAGCCCAGATGTCCCTCTCTCCAGCAATGCTTCCAGCTCCTCCTGGGGGACCCCAAGGAGTTCCCAGGCCAGATGACACATGTAATCCCTCCAGCATGTTCTGGGTCAGCCCCGGGGCCTCCTAGCAGTAGGACATGCCTGAAACACCTAACAGGAGGCGGCCAGGAAGCATCCTGATCAGATGCCTCAACCACCTCAACTGACCCCTTTCAACACGAAGGAGCAGCGGCTCTACTCTGAGCTCCCTCCGGATGTTGGAGGTCCTCACCCTATTGCTATTCAAGAAGACTTTGATACCTCGCCCAATATGCCCCCCTTGCTTGATGGTGTGCTTGTGATAGCCTGAGCTACCTATTGTCACACCTAATTATCCTCTCACAAAGAAAAAGACGAAAAATCAAATTGGTTGGAGGAAGAAAACAAACCATACTTCAAGAGGAATTTAATAAAAGAAAGAACAAACTGAAGATTTAAATGTTCCCTACACATTAATGCTTTGAAACAAACCTCGCTGGTACGTTTCAATTTGTGGATGTTTAAATTTTAATGAAGTCAGACAACAACCAAACAATCAGTAGTACAGCAAAACTAAACAGAAATCCAACGACATTTCAGAAGAAATCACAGAAAGGAAATAATGTTTAACAACACAAGTATGACTGCAGTCACAGGGAACACCTTTTCCTAAAGTGCAACAATTTGATGTGAACTTTATTTCAAGTCAAAAGCACAGTGTTTAACAGACAGCTTTGCCTTTTTTAGAAAAAAAAAACACATGACATATTGAAGATGGTTGATGATGGCCAAAAGCCTGGTCGCTTTAAAGCAGCTACTCCTGAGGGACGTCTTCAGCCAACAAAGGAGTCTGGTGATTGTTTAGATTGTTCATCTGGTTGTGAAGCTGCACGTCCTAGAATAGATTCAGCACAGGTAAGTTTATTATATCTGCCTCATGGTGAAGTTTAGACAGAGAAACAATTCCTTTTGATACTACAGCAATGGAGACGTCTGTTTATTAGACAAGGAAACGTATGCTGAATGTGGTAGAGACTCACCTCTCTGGGCCTGTAGACTCCCAGTTTAAGGCGACAGCAGATGACGTCAAAAAAGAAGCCAACAAGCCCATGGAGCATCCCTTTAAAGATAGATGGCACTGAATAGATTAAAGGAATACTTGACCTCCAAATGACCATTTCTATATTTGATTACTCACCCCGTGTTACATTGAATTTGTGAAGAAAACTTTTTCTTTTTCTAGCATTCCTATGCAGTGAACGAAGAATCCAAAAACAGAAAAGCTGTGATGAACTAAAGTCATAGGGGTCCATGTTTAATAATAGCAAAACTATATCAAAACACCAGTTTTCGTGCAGTATAATCCACATGATTCAATAAGCATACAACTGGTTAAATGAGACTTGGATTATACTGCATGAGTTATGTGAGAGTTTGTAAACACATGTTGTGATATAGTTTTGCTGCTGATAGACGCGGACCCTGATGATTCAAATTCATCAAGAATTTTCTGTCTTTGGATTCCAGGGTTCCCATTTCAAGAACAAAATTTCCAAACTTTTCCATGACTTTTCAAGGACCCATGAAAAGTTTTTTTGTGTCCCTAATTCAAAAACTATTCAAACATAATTTCAGCAAGCTGGCATACAGAAAGAGAGAGATAAACCTCGAGAGAAAATGACAAAACGTAAGCGACGGTAAACAAAACACTGTCAGACATTGACGCATATTAGAGCTTCGTCATGTCGACAGCGACAGAAATTTATTTTGCCGTTATGTTACATAACGTGGAGGGTCATCCAAGGGAGATTACTGTAACAATTCCATTATACGCAACAAAATTCAAGACTTTTCTAAAACTTTCAATGATTTTCACTAATTTAATGACTTTTCCAGGTCTGCAAAATGTGACTGTGAAATTCCATGACTTTTCCAGTTTTTGCATGACCGCAGGAACCCTGGGATTCTTCACCTTAAAGTTACTTCCTTTACAAAGTGTATTTAGTTGTTATACTTCAAATTTAAAATCCCAGAACCCAGGGCTTCAAATTAAGTTCAGCTAGATGCTACGGTTGCATTTCTTCCTCTCTATGTGACAGTGTTTATCTGTACTATCCCTGTAAAAAAAAAAAACGTGTTTGCAGGTGAAACCTAGACTTACCTGTCGTGGAGAAGATTCCCCCGATAATACCACACAGTCGCACCAGGAACTGCCACAGTGGCATATGCTGCTCGCTGACTGTCACCATCAGAGAGCTGGTATCGTACTTGACGAAGATGCCGGACACACCGTGACTGCCTGCTGCGTGGTTGATCACTCGCTCCTAGGAGACAAAAACTATTGCGGTTAGTGTTGCTCCAGGTTTCTCTTAAACTCTTCTCTGTCGGTGTTTTGGTGTTGGGCATTAATCACTGACCCGCTCAGTCACAGAGAACTGGTGTGTGTCTGCAGATATCTTGTACGTGTTCAGTCTGGTTGGAACCACTGTGATAAAGTACTGGAACATCTGGTTATCTGTCGCAAAACACACCAAGGAACAATGTGTGAGAAATTGCAATATTTTAGGTTTTTACATCAATTTCAAGAAGGAGTAATATGTGTAAGTGCAGCTGAGACACTCACAATGAAAACTCCATTAGGGTGCTATCTGTAAAGGAAACCTTTCTCCAATAATACCTACTTAGCAGTGATCGTCCAAGGTGAGCTGAGGACAGTCTGAGTCAACTCATGATTCAAGAACGCGTCATTAACTCTGCAGAAACCTCCACCATATGTTTTATCCGCTCCTTTTCCTGGAAACATAGCAGTAACTCACTGTTATAGGTGATTTTCTCGGTGCCGTCCAGAGGATTGATGATGCCCGGTATCTCCTCCCCAAAAGATAAATGGTCTATGCGATGGGAAAAGTTGTAAGCTGTAATATAAAGATGAGAGAAAGCTCCAGTTCCATCAAGGCCGCGGAGAATCACTGAGTGAGCTCTGAGTGAATCTGAGAAAAATTAACTCTGCACTTGTACGCCTGTGAATGGATGATGTTTAGAGCTGGAGTAGGCAGAAAAAAAAACTCTTTCCCCCTCTTTTTCTGTCTCTGTTTATCAGAACACAAATTAGACAAGAATTAGCTGCTAGCCACCCCACAGTCTCTCCGCCTCACTCCCCGCCGCTGTGCGCTGCTTCCCCCGAGGAGAGTCAGCAGCTGCAGAGACAGGCTTTCATTTGGCGGCTGTAGCAGTTCGAATTTAGCCATCACAAACCCCCTAGCATTGTAATGTAATGGTACTATTTCATGCAATCTAAGGCGTAAGGATGCGTAAGTGACGTCAACACAGGAAGTGATGGGCGCTGGGCCTGGCCGTTGTTGTTCTGTATTATGAGTCGTGTTAATATATTCGACAGAAGACAGTTGCCACCACCTGATTATATTTCTACCTAATACCACAAGCACTGGGTAACACTGGCTGGTGGCCAGCAGCAGCAGGTCTAACCTGTGTTAAGGCAGCAACAGAAAGTTTGCCGATCCAGCGAGGAGTTGGGGTCACAGCTGGGGTTTGCGCTGGCTGGATTCAAGTTACTGCAGCTGGTCTGTCTCTGGAGTTGCTGCCTGCTCTCCTCCGGTGAGGTGGTCTGTAGTGGTGGAGAGTGAGGCGGACACACTGTGATTCGAAGGTCCAGCTAACATTAGCTACATAAATGTGAACCTGAAGCCTTTGTCTCCGGTTAGCAGAAAACTTAACTATTAGCAACATTTTCTATCCATCTCTGAAACACTTTGCCAGTACTGTTTACTGTCAGACTCTCTTTTAGACTCTGTTTTTGTTTAGTCCGTCGCCCATTTTTGGGTTGCTTTGCAGTGTTGGCAGTTGTTGCTAATGCTGGAATAACAACTTTCTCTAAAGCAGTGGTTCCCAACTGGTGGGTCGTGGTCTAAAAGTGGATTGCGGGTCCACTCTGAATGGAACGCAAATGACTCTGAAATGTGTCAAGTTTGTGAAAGCACACTTTATTTTGAAGTACAGTGAACTTCCGGCACAGAGTTTTTATTTTGAAGTGCCACTTCCTGCTGTAGAGTGAGTGACTAACCGACAGCTACCTAACAGAGACAGCAAACTAGCTCAACGACAAACACATGTATGATGCTGAATATATTAAACTGTGGGAACACTTGGGAACCACTGCTCTAAAGGATTCTCAGTCATTGAATCAGGATTTCACCAATGGGACGTGAACTCGCATCTGCATCTGTAGAACAGCCAATAGGAACACTCTTGCTCTGAAATGACCTGTGATTAGCCAAAGCCTCCCGTCACAGCCTAGATTTTCTAAAGCCTAAAACAGAACCAAGAGGAGGTGCAGAACATGTCTAGTGTTCTCTCAGTTCACTTATGCACAAAGTTTGTAATAAGATTTTTGCCCGGCGACACCAAAATAAAATTGCCTACTCCAGCTTTAAAGCTCTTCTACGGATCAGTCATAAAATAAAATATGAATGAGGAAGAAAACTGAGTGTGATTACTAATAACATGTCTAAAAATGCAACATTTAATAATATCAATGATGTAAAAACTGGCTTTCATACTCGGTAAATTGCCCCAGAGGAAGAACAAACATCTGTCGTCTCTCCCTTTTTTTTCTTCCAAATTTAGCAGTCATAATTTTGTTTGCACCCTGAGCAGATTACTATTAAAAAAAAATCAAAGACAACAGCTGCAAGCATAATTAGAGAAACAGTTACATACTCTCGTGGCTCACAAAAGCTGCGATGTGGGCATGACCCTGGGGATGGTGAATGGGCCTGAGGAAGACAAAAAGGTATTAGAGGAGGCTCTCTGTAATTATGTTCATTTTTAAATTACACAAATTCTACAGCTAGATTGTGATCGGGAATTATTGAACGACCTCCGGTTACATCTGCCAGCACCTTTTTCACCATTCCTCTATGTTCTTACTTTCCCACAGTGATGTGTAGATTTCCTGCCACCTTGTTGACGTAGACGTGCCCGTGTATCCTGCAAGCATCAATCGGCTCCACAGAGCCATCCTCCCTACACACACACACACACAATTATTGAGCATGTATTTATGACATTTCCATCATAAACGGATGCAGAGAAGGCACAAATTAGTGCATAAAACATGACCAGAATGCAGGAAATTAAATGTTTAATGCTTAAAATTTGCTGGGCAAACACCACGTTCCATGTGTCTCGCCCTGTGTTGATATAAACCTACGCCTTTGGTGTAGAGAACCAAACTTTCTTTGCATTTTGTAATATTAATGAAGAAATAAACATGAGATAGTTTAGAGAATAGCATGTTTGCATGTATGTAACTGTATCTGACCGTGGGGGCAGGGCAGTGGGACCTCCTTTGAGGAGAGTTTTGTAAAGGACTTCCTGGAGAGCATGTTCCTCTCTCAGCCTGTTCTGTATGAGAAGCAGCGTCCTGAGGGCAAAAGACAGGTTGGTGACATGTGAGACAAACTACATCTGGAATGTAGCGATGCAAGTTTGACTACTGACACCTGAGCGCCTCAGAAACGACTACTAACACAGTCTTTCACAGGACAAGGGAAAAAAAAAAAGTTTTAACACCTTTTGTCCCTTTTTTTAAAGGTTTTTTAAAAGTTGATGCACAGGATCATCTGTTACATCATCATTTGTTACGTCGAATTTCTTTCCTTTCCTTTGCTTTTCTTGCATGCGTCCATGATGAACGAAGAATCCAAAAACAGAGAAAATTCTTGTTGAATTCAAGTTAAGTTTAACAGCAGCAAAACTACATAAAATCATCCCTTTCCAAACTCTCACACAACTTGTGCAGTATAATCCAATTCCCATTTACCCACTAGTATGCTCAGTACTTCACAAACAGACAACCCTTTCTGACGGGGAACTGAACTAAGGGTGAAACTTATCTATGCTCTCTTCACCTCTTTACCTCACTGAATACAGGAGCTGCTGGTCTACTACTGCCTCGATCAGTTAGTTAGTTGGTGTTATTGTGTGACTTTGGTGTTTTAAAGCGTTAGTTCAGATTCACCAAGGTCACACAATTTCACAAACAAACAATCGAACAAAGCAGCAGTAGACCAGCAGCTCCTGTGTTCAGTGAGGTAAAATTACTTTTTTTTCAATGGAGTCTGGTTTTGAAGAGAGCATAGTGTCGCTGTCCGATGAAAAACACATATCTCCACTTTTGACGATTTTGACTTTCTACGTGCTTTGATGGACACTTCTGACAGCCAGTGGAGATACATGTTGAATAGATGATGTAATAGACGTCTTTCCATTGGTCATTTGGATATCCAACGCTAACGGTTGCTAAGGAATATTATGGACACTCCATGCACTGTAGAAATTCAAAATCGTCAAAAGTGGAGATACATGTTTTTCATCGGACAGCGACGATAGATAAGTTTCACTTTCCACTCAGTTCCCCGTTGATAATGTCTGTCTGTTTGTGAAGTACTGAGCATACGACTGGATATTGGGGGCGGCAGTAGCTCAGTCCATAGGGACTTGGGTTGGGAACCGGAGGGTTGCTGTTCGAGTCCCCGTCCGGACCAAAATATGGAGCTGGAGAGGTGCCAGTTCACCTCCTGGGCACCGAACCCGCCAACCGCCCAGGGCGCCTCACCAAGGGCAGCCCCCTCACTCTGACATCTCTCCACTTTGTGCATGTATAGGTCCTGTTTGTGCATGTGTGTGTCTTTCGGACCTGTGTGTAATTGACAAGCAAGAGTGAAAACATTGAATTTCCCCTCAGGGAGATTAATAAAGTAAAAAAAAACTAAAACTTAAAATAAACTTAAACTTAAATAAGACTTGGATAAACGGATGTCTTTATATAGTTGTGCTGTTATTAAACACGAACCCCAATGACTTCAATTCATCAAGGATTTTCTCAGTTTTTGGATTCTTCGTTCATCATGGAGGCATATGACAAAAACAAAGTTTTCCTCACAAATTCAACATAACATGCAAATAATCAATTTGTGGGTTGAGTATTCTGTATTAAGGTCTTAAAATGACAATCAGAATTGAAAAATAAACCAATTAAATCTAATATGGTTTCACGTCCTACAAGAAAACAGTGCAACATTTAACCAGGGGTCGGCAACCTTTACTATCAAAAGAGCCATTTTTGACTAAAAACATTTTTTTAAGGATCTGTCAGGAGCCACAAAACATGTATGAGCCTTATGGTAAAACAGTAAAAACAACAGTAAAAACAATATGTTTACAAAATGGCTCCTCTCCTCTGATTTGTTGGTACTTTAACTTTGCAGCGTTGGCAGTGAACAAATCTGTACTTTTCTCTGAGACTTTTACTTTTATGGATTTGGAATCCATTGCTAGCCTGGCTAAGGAGGCTAAAGATTAGCCACTGCTGTTGAGGTTTGGCCAAATTTAGAGGGAAAAGGCACCAGGCCGCAGATGTATGACACATTTTAGCTGACGAAATGTTGTTTTTTCTTTTAATATTCATTACATTGAATGCACGCATTTTTTACAATTGTAGAATGTAAGAATTTCTTTAGACCTACAACAATGATAAAAATGAAAATGTTAAAAATAGGCGTTATTCATTTTCATGTTTTGTTTTGTTTTAGTCAAAGCCACAGGGAGCCAGTGGAGAGAGGCTAAAGAGCTGCAGGTTGCTTCCCCCAGATTTCAACTGAAATTAAAACATGAAACACTACGCAGAAGCCTTTGAGTTAGATAAGATAATTTTAGACATTACGAGACATTTATAGTTCTTGTCTTTTGTCACAGTGTCTCCCTGTATAATCTCATGAGACCTTACCTTTGCCACAGTCTCTGCTGTGGAGTCAGCTCAAAAATAACCTGAAACACACAAAGACGAGAGATGCATCTCTGAAAGCAGCTGGAAACAAAATTCAATTTGACCCTTAATGAACTAAACCTTGCTAATGTTTGGAGACATGCTTCACTCACAGGCTCGTACTGGAGGCCGTTAGATGTGATCATGGTCTCAGCCAGGTCCAGAATATCTGCGCCAACATCTGCAGCCACAGACACAAAATGCAACTGACATATGTACACAGACATTTATCGACATGAATGACAAAGAAGTGGGGATACTCACGCTGGCATTTCATGGCGACTGTGATGTCGATGTTTATTCTCAGTTTACTGTAAATGAAAAGAATCATATCAGTTTTGCAGTTGTTTCCTGTCATATACTGTAAATATAAGTATGTTTGTGAAAGTGAGCTCACCTGGAGAAATCCTTGTCAACCTCATATTCATACTTCATCCACGTGTCTCTATAAACAAAGAACTCCAAGATGGCCAGAAGAGCCATGGCCCCAAACGCTATCAGCGACACTGTGGATGAGACACACAGGGTGGTTACTGTTACTGATGTATTTCCTGTATTGTTGTGTATGTTTTCAGTCAGTGTTCACCCACCTGTTCCTCCTGACGCCGAGGTCTCCACGTAGCTCTCTGACACTTTGGGGAAGGCGTCCAGCTCCCTCACCAAGCTCAGGGCCTTCCTCCGTGACAGACGCCTCATCTTCAGGTTCAGGGTTCAGCTCTCCACCTCCTCCGTCACCAATAAAACACAGAGCATCCATCAGTGTTGCATTCAGGACCCCAGTCTGAAGTCTGTTACAGATTATTTTCTACTGAAGCTTCTGGTTGACAATATTTTGCACAATGTTTAATATCTGTAAGTACAGTCAGACAACTATATCTGACAACTACACAGCTAGTCACTGTTTAACTTGCTGTAAACAGTTGAATTGTTGAATCTGGACTAATAAACTGTTACAAACTCTCTATAACAGGGGTGCCCAAACTTAGCCGATACTGAAACTTAACAGAGGGCCACGGGCTAAAAGCAAACACCTGCAGCACTGTGTTATATTGTTTAGATGCAAAACGATATCAGGATCCAAAGTTCACTTAATTGACTTGCCTTTTGTCCATTTGCCACTGTCTCTGCCTCTTCATTTTTTTTTATTACCTCACTCAAACTGACTGAACTGTAGAAAGTGTCTGCCCACCGAGCTCAGATTATGATGAAAAAAATAAATAAATAAATAATAACAATTAGGGTTCCTACATATTTAAAGAATGGTTTTACCTTGCAAAAATAAAAACAACATTAAGAGGGATTCATGTTAGAATTTTTAAATTTTTTATTATTTTTTTTTAAATC